GAATAATTTCATAGAGTACTTTACCTATAGTTAAAAGTCTCAGATTTTTAAATATATTTTTACTGATAAATTCTTGAACATGACATCAATTTTTTTTTAAGGAAATGTATTTTTTTCTTTCAATCCTTAAATTTTGGAGGCTGGAGAGATGGCTCAATAATTAAGAGTACTGGATATTCTTGCAGAAGACCTGTGTTCAAATCCCAGCATCTACGTGATGGTTAACATCCGTCCATATCTCCGGTTTCTGGGGATCCTATACCCTCTTCTTCATCCATGGGCATTGCATGACATTTGTACATGTACATACATGCAGGCAAAACACTCATACACATAAATAAACACTCTTCTGTATATAAACCCCACCCTATGCTCTGTTAGCAAGCCCATTAAACTCATTAGGATTTTTCCAAAAACAAAACAAACAACAACAAAAAAAAAAAAACAGAGCTAAAGGATACCTTCATTTTCCCACCAAAGTTGACCCCATGTTGGCAAATCCTTTGATCTTTGATTTCCTTATTCCTATCACCCCGTCTTCATTGTATATATATTTGTATGTAACCTGCTTCAAATTATTTCTGGAAAAATGTGTTAAAATTGTCTCTCTGGAATAATAAAACTATTCTAAAAATTTCAAAATCATAATAAATAAAAGTTTAAAAATTAACTTTTGGGGAGCTAATTCATTATCAAGCATATGTTCTTCAAAATATAACTCATATGCTTTAAAAACCGTTCCTGGAATATGTTAAAATGCCTCTGAGTGTTACCAGCAGAGCTTCAGATAAAGTGCATGTGAATGAAGTAGAACCTAGAAATGACCATTTTTAGTGGAATGTCCATTAAGTAGGCATCCCACATAATTCTGATACATATTGCCCAGCACTCCATAGGTATTATTTTTCCCTCTAATTTCACAGGCCAATCTGTGGTGGTCTCCTGTCCATACAAAATCACTATACTTTGTTAATATGATCCATTTTGAGCAGGGTGGGTTCTTGATGTTTTGTGTGTGTTTAATTTTTTTCATACAATTAAATTTGATGATATTTAGATCCCCTCCCCTATCCACACCTCCCTTATTGCTCCACACCAAATTTAATGTACATATATATAATGTATAAATGTCTATATATATTATATATATAATATATATAATAAGACTTCTGGCCTTTAGTATCTAACTTGTGTCTCCAAGTGTCCTTCAGTGTCGGTTCATTCTCTGGAGCCTGGTTAACATACCAAGAATCCCATGCTTGAAATAGACTGTGCCCCTCCCAGCAGCCATCTTTTGTCAAAATTTCCTTTGGCGGGATTGGAGCTTCTTACCCCCTTCCTCATGTTATGCTGGAATTTTTTCTGATATAAGCTTGCATGGGAGTTGTGCGTTCTGTCACCGTTGCTTGTGAGTTCATATGAGTAACTGACCAGCTGTCTGGTAAGCTGTTTTTTGTGGTCCTCTATCATGTCTGGCTCTTACATTTTTTTCACCTCTTATTCCACTATGGTCTCTGAACCTTTGGATGTAGCAGTTTGATGTAGGTGTTCTACTCAGGGATAAGCACTCTGTAGACTCTTGTTCTTTGCACATTGGCCAGTTGTGGGATTCTGTGTTAATCACCATCTTTTGCATAAGGAAACTTCTCTAGTGAGAATTGTGAGGTGCATTAATCTATGGGTATAACAAATAAGTCATTAACATTCAAATACAATAACCATTTAGTAGACAACTATGATTAGGTTTCCCTTTTTGTCCTGTGACCTGTATTGCCATAGGTTTCAAAGCCTGATATCATTGTCAGGTAGTGGTAGCTATTAAATCCAATTAAGAGTGTTTTTTTTTTTGTTGTTGTTGTTTGTTTTGTTTTGCTTTCTCTTCTGGAAGCATGCATAACAACTTCCAGTACTGTCAATGCTAGCCCGTGGAGGTGATGGTCTGAAGTCTGTACGAGCTTGATTTCTCCTTGTTTGTTCTATAGCTTATGATGTAGTATCGTCAGCATAGGGTCTCATCATCCAGTTCTGGTAATCAAGAGCAGGGGCAATGGCCATTATTGTTTAGGGCCAGTGGGACCCTGGTCAACAACTTCTTGACATGGATTCCATTCCTGGCATTGAGGTTTCTTTTTTCCATTAGCTTATGATGTATACCCCTGTTACAGGATAACTCTTTTAATCTCTTTTTATGATGTATATTGATACACTTTAAGAAGCTTCTATGGTGGAAGGTTTCCATATGGCTTTTTAGTGTTGCCTGTCCCTCCCTATACTCCCTTCTCTGCCCTGCCCTCCCATTCCCCGCGCTGTTTAGCCCTACCTCATCTAATGTTCTCCTTTCCCTCTTCATATTACTGCATTCTACCTTCCCTTCCACAAAACCTTTCTCTCCCTCCCCCAAACCCTGGCCTCCTACCAGAAGCAGTCTACAAATTCAGTACAATACCCATTACAATTCCAACACAATTTTTCACAGAAATTGAAAAAAATCTCAAATTTCATATGGAAATAAGCAAACAAATAAACAAAAAAACCCCAGGATAACCCCTATAATCCTGAACAATTAAAGAATGTCACATTTTTATTTTTTTATTTAATTTTTGTTTGTATATTATAATGTTCATAATTAAGGGCATGGAAGTATTGTAGTTATCACAAATATTGTAATATCAAGTAGCGTGTAAATTATGTAGCACTTTGCTCTCTGAAATACCACCCTTACTTTATAGATGCAGTATTGTTTCAGATTTCAGATATATACAATAGATTATTTGCTATTGGTGACAACTAATTGCATTTTTGTGTGTGTTTGTCTCCCTTCTGCTTTTTGTCCTCTTACAGGTGATGCTTTTCCTTGGACCATCAGCTTGCATCATTTCAGCATATATACCCTTCTTGGAAAACAACGGACACTTTCCCTAGTGGAACCTATGGGCTGTACCTCTACTCTAGCTGTCACATCTCAAAAGCTACTTCCTATGGGACCTGATGTGAGGCATTCATTTGTTGTCTGTCTCCATGTTGACCTAGAGTCATTAGAGATAAAATGCTCTAACCCCCAGGTTGGTACATTTCCTTTGGGCAAGTTAAGTGGGCTAAAATATTGTCTTTCATTTTAAAAGATTTTTGTTCTATTAAATGCCACCCTTTTTTTTTCTTTTAAACTGACCACCAAAATTGCAATGATTAAATTAAGAATTGTTTTGAAGTATTATACTGAAAACTCTCTGAAAATATATTGATGATAGCCTAAATTCATCTTTTTGCTGGTTTAATAAAATCAGTTGTAGATCCAATGTTTTGAAACTCTGAAGAACTATTTTAAGATTGGACTTGAGGGTCTAACTGAAATGATTAAGTATAATTTTTAATGAGAGTCTCACAACCTCTTTAGTCATCTTGCCATATCTTAAAGCAAAAGACCATATCACTGTTTACTATAAAAAAGGTATTGTTACTCCCATAATAGTTCAACTGTAATATGCCAATCATGTTATATTCTGTTTTATAATTTTACTGCAAATTCAGATCATCTGGGTTTGTATAAATTGTTATTTACCTAAAATTTAAGTATTTATATTTTCAGTCCCAGTTACACTGTATTACATTTTCCACATCGACAGTCAATCTTGAATATTATTTAATGTTAATTTTTAAAATTACTTTGAACATATTATTGGATCTGATTGGTCAATATTCACAATTCTGTTCATTCCAGCCTTACTAGTTATTAGCCAATTTTTAAACTGTATTTTTATAAAGGAAGTTCTAATGTCATTCCATATTGGAGAGTTTCCTTTCCAATACCATCAAACTCTCTTCTTCCTTTTGCTTTTTTAAAAATGTATTTATTTATTTGGAGAACAAGGGCTAGTATATGCATGCCACAGCATGATCGTGGAGGTCAGAGGACAACTTGCAGGAGTTGATTATTTCCTTCTACTGCATAGGTCCTGGGAATGGAACTGGGGTTTTCCATCTTGGTGATAATCCCTTTACCCACTGAGCCATCTTGCCAGTGCTCTCACTGCTCCTATCTATTTTGTGTTGTATAATTTGGTTTCATAGTGCTATAGAAGAGAACAACTATATAAGTACATACCATCTCTTAGATTCCTTCTGCTAATGTCTGGTTTAAAAAGTTTCCAAAAATGAGATAAACTACTGAGGTTGAGTTGTATTCTTGTGAAAAAAAGACAGGTTGATATCCTGCCTATCCTTCTCTATCTCAGAATGTGGTTTTGAGAAAGGTAATCAAGCCAAAATGAAGTCATTAGAATGCACACCAATAAAAAGGAAATAACATGAAGGCCCAAAGGGTGAGTGCCATGCCTTTGTGAAGTAGAAATTGAAATGTTGCAGCTAAGGACCAGTGAACACCAAGGATTTCTAGCCACCACCAGGACCTAGGAAGACAATGAGTGTGTCCACTCTGAGTCTCAGATGGTAGATGACACTGCTGCTGTCTTGATTCCTCTGGAACTGTAAGACAATACATTTCTGTTGTTTTAGCCACCTAGTTTATGTTTCCTGGTTCTATAAACTCTACAATGTAGAATATGAAGGAAGAGATTAAATTTCTTTGCATCTGTTCCCCAGCTTTCCATCACTGTAACAAATATCCAGTATAATAAATAAAATACCATATACAAAAGTGGTAATGATTGGTTTACAGTGTTTCCAGAAGTAAAAGTCTGATACTGTTTCAGGTGACAATGCCTGGGATTAATTCCTTCTTCCATCTCTAATTAGGAAGTGGCCATCTCCTTTTTCCTCAGAGTTGGAGAATAGGTGATTTGGGCAACTTTTTTTCTTGTTTATTTGTTTGTTTGTTTGTTTTGTGTGTATGAGTGTTTACCTGATTTTTCTATGTGCACCACTGCTTGCCTGGTGCTCATGGGGACCAGAAAAGGGTGCTAGATCCCCAGGAATTGGGATTAACATACAGGCATAAGCCTCTGTGTCAGTGCTGGGAGCTGAAACCAGGTCCTCTGCAAAAGCATCAAGTGCTTTTAACCACAGAGCCACTTCTCCAGCCTCAACTCTTCCCTTCTTTTCTTTGATTATGCATCTTTTCTTGTTTTTTTTTTTTTTTTTTTTCTTTTTTTTTTGTTTTTTTTTTTTGTAATGGAACCAGGCATTATTTTCTCTCATCTGGCTTCTTTGGTCCTTGTATAGCTTGGCGAGTGAATAGCTGTTAAATATAAGTGGTAAAAAGAGGCATCCTTTTCTTGTTCTAGACCTTAGAAAGTTTTCATCTTTTCTCCATTCATATACTAATTATTTTCTCCATTTCCCAATTCTAAATTAGTATTTGGTCTGTTCATGCTCAAATCGCTGTTGATATTCCACTACCTTCATCCCTGATCCATATAAAGGTGCTTCACAGTATTTCTTCAGTTATCCTTTAATCAACTTTATTGAAGTGTACTTAATATGCAATAAACTCCATGTTTAAATTATGTAGTTTGAAAATTGACATGCCTGCACCCATGAAACCATCCTACAAACTATGTAATGAATAAAACCCAAATCTTCAAAAGTTGTTTATACTCCTTTGATGTCCTGTTTCCTTTCCTCTCCATCAGGTGACCATTGATTCTATAATAGCAAATTTTTGTTTTTATAATTCTGTATAACTGAAATTTTGCAGTTGTTATTTTTGCCTGGTTTCTTTCATTCTGCATAATTAATTTGAGATTAGTTCATTTTTTCACATTTTTTAATTGAATTTTTTTGTGTATTTCATACAGAACAGCTCAAACAATCTTAATCATCTTTATACCCACATCTCCACTGCACCCTCCCATAGCACACCCCCCACTCAATTTTACATGTATCAGTTCTCTTTCTTTTTATTGCTAATTAACATTCAGCCATATGGTTATACTTCATTTTGTTCAGTGCTTGTTAGTAAGTATTTGGGATTTTTCAAGTTTTGAGCTAATATAGATAAATCTGCTATAAATATTTGTGTTCCTGTCTTTTTACAGACATCGGCTTTCATTTTGTGGGTGGGGAGAAACACTCAGAAATAGAATGGCTGGATAATATGATAGATATAAACCTTTTCAAAACTATTAAAGTATACTTAAATTTTACAATCTCACCAGCAGATAATGAGAGTTTTAGTCACTCCCTATCTGTGCTAATATTTAGAACGATTAAGCTTTTTAATTTTATACATTCTAATAGGTGGGCAATGGTAGTTCATTGTGGTTGTAATTCTCAGAGTATTTCAGTAGAACTTGAAGGTTGAAAATTGATCATTTACCCTCAAAATATTTCCTTTATTTTCGAGTAGTCCGAGTTCTGCATTAGCATTTTCTTCTTTGAAAATAATATTATATTTGAGATTTATATGTCATTGTTTGCTTGGCACTTTAAATATATATACTTGTTGACTTTTTAAAAATGGTAACAGCTAAAGGAATTAGAAGTCATGACAATAAAAACACTGTTTCTCTTATTTATTTACGAAAAAGAAAAATGATCTTTAGGTGTTTGGGTTGAAATAAAATTGTTCCTTTTAAGAAATAAATTTAATTCATTATGAAAGAGAAAATGTGAATTACATTTCTTCTAAGAAGTTTTTTTGTAAGAGCTGTAGTCATTAGATCATTTTAAAACAAGAAATATCCATTACTTGAGATTTGTGGAAACTTCATTACACAAAAAATTGTAGAAGACTGTATGCCGAAGTACTGTTTTGCATCAAGTAAGGATTGACAACTGTTTTTATGCATCTGTTCTGCCCACATGAGAAGCTAGCTTCATCATCTGGATGTGTCCTGGGGCTGAAACTTTTTATAAATATGAGAATTTTACTTTTTTAAATGGCAAGAATATGGTATCCAGCTGTGGCTTTGCTTATATATTGTGTTTGCATTTTTCCCTGGGCTTGTTTTATGCAATATATGGCAATATGTTGTCATACAAATTCCATGATTAATGCTTATTTATGAAATCTTGTATAAATATCTTAGAACTCAGTCAAACAATGTGTAAGTTAAACAGTTTTTTTCTTTGAATATTGGAATGACATGTCCCTGGGGAGAAGGTTGGGCATGTTTTCTATCTCTAGAAGTCTTTTATAATGTAATATTTTCCTTTTATGATATATCATTCCTTTTAATTTATTTTGCCAAGCAGAAAATTCAGTTTCAGATTTTTACCTCAGAAAAAGAGAACATTTAGATTTGGAAATTATTTGGAAAGAAGGGTAATAGTCATTTCGTATCACACAAAATAATTACATTTTCCAGGACCTGCATTTGCTTTGTAATTTTGATACAGTTCTCTGTTTAAGAGACGTTTGTATTTAGTCAGTTATTCATATTTTAAAGGGACTCTTCTTTTACTTTATAAGCTCTGCTGATTATCCTGGTTTTAATTCGCTGAAAGGCTTGATTGGTTATAAAATAGCAGTGTGAGTTGGAGTCCTGTGTTAGTAAATCATAAAGAGTGATGTATTACTAGATATTTGGGTTTTAGATTCTTCTAGATTCTTAATTTTATTGGACTAGTTGATTTTCTCACATCTAACATATGAGTGTTGTGAATACAAGTTGAAACCCTGTTTCTTCTCCTTTATGCTCAGGTTCAGCTCCTTTATGAACTAGCTGATACTATGAGTAAGGTCTGGAATAAGATTCAGAAGAGAGGCACTCTCAGTCCATCGTCAGTCTATCCAGATACGGCAGGGCCTGTCCCTGGTTCTCCAGTTCGTAGCAGTGTAGGCACAGCTCTTCCAGACACCAGCACATGCAGCCCATCTGCTGATATTGGAACTACCACTGAGGTAAATGTTTCTGAAATGAAAGGTAAAGTACCAAACAGAGTTCTCTGTGACCTCATCATGGTGGAGGCTGACAGATGCAGAAGGTTCCTGTGTTGTGTTGTTTTGAACTTCATGTATTTTTACCACTTTCAGTTGATTCCAAGGTAGTTCAGGACCGTGCAGGGTTTGGGTACAGAATAGAAACTTAGAAGTAATGAGACAGAGGCTTCAGCTTTTCTAGATATCTCTGTGTACAGGGCCCCCTTTTAAACCTAGATATAAATTATTGTCTTCAGCTTAGAAATTTTGAACCCTGACATTCTCAGTGTCCTCTTCTTTTCCTCAGTCATAAAAATCCTCTTCTTTCATTTTAGCACCCTAATGTCAGATGGAATGCCAGTGTCCCTTTTATATAATAAACATGTTATAATGGTCTCTTTACTATCCTGAAATGCAATAAAAGATATACTATGAAAATGAATTGAAAAAGATGTGATAGAACTTATATATACACATAATATTAAAACTAATGAAATATAAAGGAATATAATTTAAGATACAATAATATGTACTATTATGAATGCTTTGGCTTGACTGAATTAGAATATGTAGTCAAGTAGTCATATACATGTAATTTAGAGAGAAACTTGCTCATTATTCATCATGTAAAGGCTACAGTTAGACTTGCATAAGCCTGTATTAAATACTGCAAATGACATTGATAACCATGATTTTCTGAAGTGACAATCTTTTGATCCAATTTTGGACAAAGCATAATTCAGTCTTTTATGTCAAATGTTATGTCAATTGTTGCATTTCTGGAAATCTTAGAGTTTAATTCTTAAGTAAGTGTAGGAAAGTATTTAGATTTGAAATAGCTATTTTTGCCCAAGTATTTTTATCAACATGATTTTTAACATGTGATTTGTCTGCGAGACCATCTTCATTGTACAAGACTGCCATATTTACCATAGGACCTGTTGAGTCTCTGACTCCTTACCTTTAAATGTCAGGAGAGCCACAAATATTTGAATCAACCCAAAACATTCTCCTTCATTTCCAGAACCCCACCCCACAGACTGCTAAACTTTCCTGCTGAGAACTACTGTTCTATAGTAGATGGAGGTAGATGTTATAGTTTTGTTTCTTTGTAGACAAGGTAGTTACTCTAGAAATAAAGCTATTGACAAAATATAGAATGAGAAAACATAGTAAGGGGCATGTAACTTTTTTTTTTTTTTTTGCGTATCAGTCAAAGCAAACAAACTCCAAAGGGCAGACTTCACTGCCCTCAGGCTTGTAAACAGTTGGAATAGATTTATTTAACCCCTGCACGAATAGCTGCTCTCTTCTAAATCTTTGGAAGCAGTGACTTAAAGTGATGAGATTTCTTTCTCTCTCTCTTTTTTTTTTTTTCCAAACAAAGAAGAAGTAGAAAGCCTGGATCTCATGAGACCTTCTGGAGTTGATATAGGATATCTTATAGAATAAAAGCAGTGAATTCTATCTTAGAGAACTTTAGTGCTATTGGCTTCAAAAACTTTAATTTTTGGAGTAAACTACTTTATTCAGTACAGCAGTTTCCAAGTTTATTTAACTGAATACTCATTTTTATAGTCTATATATTTAGAATCTATAAAATAATGTAGTTTGTGAAATTTGATAATCAAAAAGTAATAGGTTACCAGGTAAGGATAGTTACAGTGAAATTGATAAATGCAGTTAAATCTAGAGACATTTCAGTGGTAGGGAAGAGTGTATTTCATCTAACAGTTGCTTGCTGAGTCCAGTGTTCACAAGGATATCAGAGTCAGCATGACTTCCTCTTATGAAAATGTACTTTTAAGAGACTTTTAAAAATCATTGCAAAGGGCTGGCCATAGTGGCTTACACCTTTAATCCCAGCAGAGGCACTTGAACCTCTGTTAATTTGAGGCTAGCCTGGCCTACATAGTGAATTCCAGGCTAGTCAAGACTACATAGTGAGATCCCATCTCAAAAAATTAAATTAAAAATTATTGTAAGGGTAGGAAACTCAGATAAAGTCATAGTGGATGGGAAGAAAAAGAGTAAAGGTGAATGAATCTTGGGAAATGTGATGCCCCCAAAATCCCCTGAGAAATGCACATTTAGGGTCTCAACATTAGTGCATATGTATACCTGGGGGCTGTTTGACAAGGAACACAGTGCCAGACAGAAGAGACCGCCCCTTGAGTGGTTGGTGAGAGTGGTCCAAGAGACTCTCAAAATAACACAGGCTGTTGCCAAAGCTCTTGGTTATCTCCAAGAACTAATAGATAAGACCCTACTGCTGAAAAGAGGACATGCTTTGGACAGGACTTCGAGCAATGAAGTGGGAACTGACCCGGAGAGGCCTCCTACCCGAAGTTTGACTGTCATAATTCTAGCTGATAATATATAACCTACCAAGAGAGGAAAACAATGAACTGTCCAATCCAGCTCTAAAGCCTAATAGCCACAATGACCAGCACAGCAAACTACCTCTGTTGGTGTAGTAGTGGCACTGTCATCTGGGGAGCAATCAGCAGCTGTCTAATTGGACTTAAAGCCCTCTCAATGAGACTGAGCTCATGGGTGGCACTGTAAACTCAACCAAAGATTTTATATATGTTTAAATTTTTCTTTTTCCTCTCAAAGTATTTTTTGTGGGGGTGGCAGTCAGCTATGAATATACTTGAATTTAAATTTTTCTCCTTGGGAATTCAGTAGTAAACAATGACATAAAAATATGGCAATTGTTTTCCCCAGTGTGTAAGAGTGCCCCAACTGCAACTCAACCTATGCCTGCTTAATGCAACCAAAATTCAAACTTGGGGCCAAGCTTTCATTACTCATTTCCTTTTGTTTATACTGCTACTAGCAATGTGCTTCGTGGCCTTTCTAATTTTTGTTCCTTTTGTCTTGGTTCTTACATGATAGACCTCATTATTGTGATCCTTTGAATTCATGTGTAACAATTATTTTTGTGTTTGATGGATTTGCCTATATATTTAAATATGTAGCCTACTCAATAGAAATAAAAGTTTGTTCTCTCATTGAAGAAACTACTGAATGCTTGGGACTACAGAGAGTCTGCATCATGGGAGAATATATAAACATTTGAATCTGGTCAAATGCTTTTATGTTACTTTGAACATGACATTCCAGGACAGTTCTAGCGGTCCTTTGCTTCTTAGTCCTCACTGTCCATGTGTCTATGGACTACCACAAGACTTTAGATTGCATGTAAGCATCAGAACTGCTTGGACACAGACCTAACATACAGTAATATGCTCTGGTTAGTAATGGTAGTACTTCCTAACTTTTCTATGTCATGGCATGTGATTTCAGTGTGTGGAGTGACGAGTGGTAATCCAACTCTCTCGAATCAGTGTACAGCCCAGGCTCCTTCCCCAAAACCCCCTCATACCAAGAGGACTCACTGCCCACCTTGCTGTGATACACTGCATGGTTTCTCAGCATACTAGTTAGCTGAGTTAGCTCTGTATTTTTTTCTCTATATTTTCAAGTCTTTTTTTCTTCTTTTTCTCAGCTTAATAATTCTCCCTTTAGGCATTTCTAGTTCACTTGGTTTCATCAGCCCTTTTTCTTCTAGCTTGAAGGAGATTGAAGGGTAAGAGGAAGAGAAAGAAGAGAGCCAATCAAGTATCTTTTACTTGCACTGGCAGTACATAGAAACACAATGAATTATTATTTATTTGGTGCCATGCACCTTATCACCATTCATTTGTTTTGAAAATTTTGCTTTATGGAATCCAGAGTTTTCTACATGCAAAATCGTGTTCTCTGCAAAAAGAGATAATTTTGATTCTTTTCTAATTTCGATGACTTTTATTTTTGTTACCTAATTACTCTGACTAGGACTTTTGATATTAAGGCGCATTGATTTTTCCATTCAGTTAAGAAACAGGCAGTATTGTGAAGTTAAACATAATTTTAATTTTTGTTAATTATCTATATTGTGAAGGAAATTTTGTCACATTATTTTAATCCTCATGAAATTCTGTACAAAGAGCAAAACACATACTTAAAATTGGCTTATGTTTTCTGTGTCCATATTAGTTATATTTTTGTGCTAGTTTGTCATCTGAAACAGCATTATGTTAAATAGTATAGATGAGAAATAAAATTACCTTAGAGGAACAGTTTTCATTGACTCAGAAGTGATGCTATTAGATAATGATTATATTATTACAGTTTCACATTGGATGTAGTATACAGGCTATCTTTCAACATCTGTCACTCATTATCTTTATCATTAGAAGATAATCCCACTTTATCTTAAACAGTACAGAGTAGATTCTAAATATATTGTTCTTAAACATATGATGTTGGAGTATTTTGGATTATCAACTCATAATGACTAATTTAAATCTCATTTGTCCTAGTGCATAGCAAAGAGATGTATGTACATGTTTATTAAATCACTATAATCTTTTCATAATGAGATATCTGTGTATACAAGTTTTTATTTTTTGTTTGGTTTTTATATCTTTAATCATTTTAAACACAATAAATATAAACATTTACTATTTAAAGTAATTTGTTTCTTATTTGCTTCTTTAGATCAAAACTTATTTTAGTGCTTTGAATATAAGGAATTTACTAGAAATGAATTTAGTGTTGACAAACATATTTTAAAAATTGTTTGTATTAGGTAAGAGTATTTATATAATCACCAGGTGATTCATACTTTAAACTGTGGGTGATATTTTTTGTGCTGACATGTTGATAGTGTTTCAATTTGGGTCACGGTAGAGTGGGAAATAGAAGTTTCACTTAAGTAAATACTGTGCTTAAAAGCAGTTAATCTTTCTCTCTCTCTCTCTCTCTCCCCGCCTCTCCCTTTCATTGAAACTGTAAGAGCAAAGGTATAGGAGACCCCAGCAGGCGACTTGTCACTGTTGACTTAAATACAAACCACAGTGGAAGTGTTCAGTCCTTTGGGAGATTTTTGTGATGGAACAAGAATGCTGGAGTTATTTTGATAAGAAAGAGTAGCAGTGTAGCCAACTTTGATCTTCCCTAAGCTCAGAATCAGGCCCAGGATAAAGGACCGAAATATTTGTTCTTCCAGATGGTTGAAGATAAATTTGCTTAGGAAAATAAATTCAGTACTCAGTTAGTTTGCCATGAAATGGTCAAAGAATTGAACTTTTTATTTTAAACTTCTGCTACAGAAGTTTGGAAAAGTGGTTCAGCATCATCATTTCTGGTACAGTTCTCACTATAGGCTTGGAAAGGGAGAAGGAAATACCCAAGCATGTTTAACAGTAAAACAGAAAATCTTATAAATCCGAAATGAAATTTGAAACTGCACAACGAATTGGACTACAACTTTTCCTCAGAAGTGCTTCCTAAATTGGAAGCTACGTTTTTCTTAGTGTCCTTAGAAAGAATACTCAGTACTGGTAGATCTGAAATGCCATTTTCTGTAGTCTTTCATTCATGAGATATGATGTCTTACTGGGTTTAATTTAAGAATGCTTCTAAGAACCTCTCCATAAAAGGCACAATGAGCCACATTAGTGTGTCTTTTATTGACTTTGGGAAAAGCATCCCTGTTGGAAGTAATTTATGCTTTTCATTTATTAGATGTTTTGTTAGATAGCTAACAAAATTATAATTTTTATAACCTCTAGTTGTAGACATTTCATTTATGTTGGACTTAGAGACTATTCTGGAAAATATATGACTACTAACAGAGAGCTTTTGATTTGTTTGGTGCTGGTTCAAGGGGTGAGTATATTCTTTTCAAGTTAGATTTAACTCTAATTTTCTATCCAGGTAATCCCAGGACACTAGTTCTTTCCTATGCTTGGTACCAAAGCTCTCCTGCAGTAAGCACACAGCTACCTTTCTGTGAAAGTCTTCCCTATTTGATCGTATTTCCTTCTGGGGATTCAGAGAAATAATCTTTTGATTGAAAGGTATAGTAATCTCTAAAGCACTGAGGCCAAGGTAGCAACTTTTATAGGAACTGAATAGTAATCTTGTCAGGATGGCATGTCTGTGGTACAGAGAGTATAGAGTTTCAGGTTCATTTTATATGGGGGTTTAATTATTTTTTTGCTTTTAGATATGATTGACCTAGAGATAGTGGCATCTGCTCTGAGAAACTGTCAGTAGAAAACAGCAAGCTGACCACTGTAACCTATCTTCTCAAAACTTTTAAGAAATATTTCATTCTGGCTCTTTACTATCGATCCTGACTACTTAACACAGGAAATAAACATTTTGTTTGAGACATTCAAAGTAATAGGGAACTATTAGAGATGGAGGATGTATGTAATTGAAAATGTGTATCAAGTTGGAGTGATGACAAAATTCAAAACCAAAATGTACAAGTACAATATTTTTAGCATTGGTTCAGCTTGGTGATGATAACTAAACCTCTACTTACAAAATCTTCACTGAGTATAAACACTTTCATTCATATTTGTGGACATGAAATAGACTGAAAAGTGAAATTGTTACATAAAGTTACATGTGTGGTGTGTGAAGTCCTGAACATTATATATCATACTGCCTAGTAGACTAAACTAATTAAGAGGATACAGATATATGTGTGTGTATACACACACATATATATAACATATTTTTGAATTATATAAATTCACTTTTAAATAAGCATGTTATATTGTATTTTCTCTGTTATTAAAATTTATGGTTTTAGGTGCCCAAGTTTTCTAGCCAGGTTTTAAATGAACAAAATGGACACATCCATGAAGGGTTACCATCTCTAGCAGTATCTTTAACTGCATTTAAAACTGAAACTATTCAAGTCCGCTGTAACTTCAAACAGGTATTTATTTTACTCTGGGCTGCTAAAAACTATTGAAAACCAGAACAACAAGAACTACCAAACTTTTCATAGCAAGTTTGCTGCCTCTAAATTTAGGATCCTACATATAATTAAAGTTCAGTATATACTTAAAAAATGAGTAAGCTCATAGTTTCTTCCTATAGATTTCAGCCATGTAAAACATATGAAATCTAGTCTAATCTACAAAATTAAGACAAGATAAATGTTTTCTTGATTTTTAAAATACAAATCAACTTTGCTATGCTTATTCTAGATTTGCTCATAAATACTCTATATGAAACATATTTTTTTCTGTAGAGTGATTGATGGTAAATACCTTAAGCCTTGTAGACCTCATCTTCTCCATAGCAACTGATCAACTCCACTAAAAAACAGCAATAGATAGTAAATAGTGGATATGACTGTGATCCTGTAGAACTTTATTTTCCAAGACGTGTGGCTTTGACTCCTGACAATGGTTTGTAGATCCTGGCTCTAGAAGGAAGTAATGGCCCTAATATGTTCTTATACTTTTAGAGAAAACTGGAATGTCATGAACCTGCTTCATAGCTACATAAACTGCTTGAGTAGTATTTATTTATGATGCTTAGGGTTGTATGTTAGCATTCTCATTTATATGATTAGAATATAGATTGTAGACAAGTTACAAGTAATATAATTTTGAATTTTAAGGTTTTTTTGTGTATTTTTGTTTGGATATCAAAGTTTTCTTTGTTTTGTTTTTCCTCTTCTCAGGGAGATTCTATGCAAGCAGGTGATGATTCACCATTCTCGGATTCTGTTACCTTGGAACAGACTACTAGTAACATTGGTGGATCCAGTGGACGTGTTAGTCTCTGGATGCAGTGGGTGCTCCCTAAAGTTACTATAAAACTCTTTGCTCCAGATCTTGAAAACAAAGGCACAGGTACAGGAGTATTTTTTGTCTCTATTGTAAAGATAAAAAATTAATCACTGTTTTTAAAGAAATATTAGACTTAATTTTGACCATTATTCCATTTATAATTTAATTCGAACTTAGTGTTTTTATTATTAATGCTAATATTTTGAATATCTTCAATATTGAAAGCTTGTATATATGTATTTTCTTTGACTTTGTAATGGCTAGTTTTGCTTGCTGATACTGGAATTAATCCCAAAAGGTATGAGAGGCCTTCTGCCTGGACAGGCCTCCCACTTGGACATACCTATATGATGTATCATTATCACTCTGGAGATAGATCCTTGGCTGATAGCAGATTGAGCCTTTCAAACAATAACTGTAGATTTTCCTATTTTGAAATAGATATATGCTCTCTCTTAATATTAAAGCCTTTACTGACATTAATTTTGCATATAATTGCAAAAATTTGTGTTACTCTTTAGATGGTGAGGATGTGTTTGCCAATGTGAAATGTAAAATAGAAAGTTGTGATGTTGATTATCAGGACTCTCCTGATAATAATACTTGTTAATTTTTGCAGAGATTTGTATGGTCAGTGAGCTAGAAGATCTCAGTGCATCTATAGATGTGCAGGACGTGTATACCAAAGTGAAATGTAAGGTAGAGAGTTTCAATATCGACCACTATCAAAGCAGGTAAATAATGAGTAGTAAATACAGGAAAAGCTACATTTTCTTTCAGCAAAATCACCAGAAGAATTTTTCTATTTTAGTTTAGGTAGTGAAATTTTATAAATTATTATGCTGCTCTTGGAGAGAATTTTTAATGGATGAATTTGTTTTCTTAGTACTCTTCCACTTGTGTCTAATAAAATTTTATAACAATCCATCTATCTCTCCATAAATATCTACATTACCATATAAAATGAGATACTACTTTTGTACTACTCTTGTACAATGTATCCCATGTGTTATTTATTTGCTAACATGCCTAGAGCACAGCTGACATCTCTGGTTGTTGCTGTACATTTTTTCTATCCCCTATGCGGTCTACACTGAGATGGAACAACTGCTGGTATCTGTTAGCACTTTGTAGACTCTTCTTTAATTATGCATCATTCATATTAATGTTTAAGATAAGCCTAGAACCATAGTGTTCCTTCTGTAATGTGTTTATTAAAAGTAAGAAAATATAAAATATGATTTGTTCATGATAATGTTAATTAAAAAGTGAAGATAGATATTTTTACAATGTCCTCAAATGATTTTCTTGTTAACATTTCCCAAATAAAAATCTGAATCCATTTTCGTATTTGGCTTTATAATGTAACTCCAGTGTTTTATTTTTACTTCGAAATAAAACATGCCATAAATTTCAAGTATGTTTAAAAAATACTTTATACTATCATATTTTCAATTTTATAGTGATTTTATTTAGAAAGAACCTTCAAATCCATTTTTTATGGATTCATAACATTGTCAGTTCAATTTTTATCGTGTACCTATAGTAGCCCAATGTGTTTCTGTACAATATATTGGTTCATTGCATTCACTATAACACTATTTCTGTAAAGAAGTTTTTAATCCCACATTGAAGCTGTTTGTTTTTATGTATTCTCCCATGTCATAATACTAATTGTATCAATAGTTATCAAGTCTGCTATAGCTGAAAATTGTGTTATTATTAAATATCAGATATTTTTCTTGCTATGGAATAGAACTTGTTATAATATTATCTTAATCTTATGGCAGTTATTTTTGTCATATTAGCAGTTATTTGTCAATTAGCTTTTGATATTTATCTATTTAATTTCTTTTCCACTACAATGTTTTTATAAGAGAATGACTTTTCATATAATATATCAATGTAAGAGCCGAAGTCATTTCTTGATGATAGGCATTTTATATATTATAGTTGATCCTTAGCTTTACCATTAAGCTTGTGTAAATTTAAAATATTTAGATCATTTATTCATTCAAATGAAAAGTATATTGAATATGTATTGTGTGCTGGGTCTATACTAAGCACTTATAGATCTTTTTGTCTTGTGGAAGACAGAAATTAAAAACCAACCAATTGACCACATCATTTACAATCAAGAGAAACACTTCTATGAAGAATTTTTGACATGCTGTGCTAATATAAATGTTTCTAGTGACTGCATTGTTGAATCTATGTTTTAGTTTTAGTCCAGTGTAGTGTTGTTTAGAATTGTTAATATGGTTATATATGGTCCATTTTTAACTTGGAGGAATTAAAGAGAACAGATAAGGTGAACTTATGTTTTCCAGGCCAGGGGAAGGTTGGCAGTCAGGACATTTTGAAGGAGTGTTTCTACAGTGCAAAGAAAAACCTGTGGTGAGATTCATTTAGTAATTATGATTTTTGAAAATTTATTTCAAATTGTTTGCTTTGTTCTTCCATGCAATAGGACTAATAATGATAAGAATTAGAGCTCAGAACAAATAAATTTCTTCCTCTAAAATTATGTTGTAAATTTAAAACTGCTTATTCTTTTAATCTGCTCATGTTTTGTAACCATCTTCCTTTGTAGCTATTAAGTGAAGTTATCAAAAAGGCAAAGATAGGATTGTTTTATATTTATTACTATACTTTAATGAATTGCCATCCTGAATTTTTGGAAGGTTTTCCTTCATAAGTGAGTTCATGCCAGATTACCTTTGCTATAAACTAAAAGTAGTAATTGAATATTAAATGTATACTGAAACCAATTCTTATTTTTTTATTTACCCCCATTTGCAATGGTTTTTCAGAAGAAAGCCAGAGCCTGTGCAAACTTGAGCAGAATTAAAATCTGTCCAGCATTTTTTTTTCTTTCTTTTTTTTTTCTTATGGTTTTTATTGCTTTTTTTGTCTTTTCACCATTTTTGCACCTGTCCATCACCTCAAGCCTTGGGGAAGAGTGTTGGTCTTTGGGGCAATGTGGAGGTGTCTTCCTTTCCTGTACTGACAAGCTGAACAGACGCACCTTGTTGGTTCGACCCGTCAGCAAGCAGGACCCTTTCAGTAATTGTTCTGCCTTCTTTCCTTCTGTAAGAAATCATTTTACAATTATATTACAGAATTCCTCTTAACAAGAAACCAAAGAAGGAATTGAACTGTCAATGGAGTCAACTCTTGATTTGTATTTCCCTCAATGTCAGTTACTTAATAAATGAACTACAGTGCATTTTGCGTCATAGATTGGGTTTCTAATGTACTCTGGTAGTCATTTGTGCATATTCTAATTATTGCTTTGTAAATAAAAATAATTTTGCTGTCAGTGTAGAAAATCAGAGTGAGTTAAGTGCAGTGCTTTTCTAATTGAAATTGTGCTGAGTGATCAAGAGTTGACCAGTACTGCTTTTGTCATTCCTGTTTTATTTCTTGCTGATACTGCTTTTTAAAAAAAAAATTTTTTTTGTTATGCAGCTATCATCTCACAACTAACAGGAAGTACAGTATTTGCTCCTGTCTTGAACCTGAACAAGTTTGTACTTCTGTCATTGGTTAAATACAGTATGAATTTAGACT